GGCAGATACAACCCTCCAACAGGTCTCCACTCTGTCCTTCCCTCAGAAAGACTGCAAGAAATCCTGTTTCTTCTGCAATTTGCCCCATGCCTTGAACTCATCTCTGTAATTGCAGCCAATCCCCACATCTCACTAATTCTCCCACAGGCCTTCCATTTTCAGCTACTTTTTAATTGCTCCCCTTCTTTCTTTATGTTCCTGTTGTTCTGCAGGGTCAGCACACCTCACACTTCCATGCTGGCTCCCACTCTCCCATCCCACTCTGCTTTTCAGAGGGCATGAAGAAGTACCCTCCAGACAGAGTATTTTACTTCAGAAGGTTTTTGTGAAGAACAGTGACCACCTTTGACCTGGTTGGTAGCACTGGCTGGCCTAGAGGGACAGAGAAGGTGGATAAATGGGAGGGTTCTCCCTTTCCTTTTGAGAAGCTGCATTTTATATCTTTACCTGTTGGAAAAACTAATTGTTTGTAACAGCTGTTGAATCTGACTAGCTCTTCCTACTGAGAATCATCCTAAAAACCAGCAGCCCTCAGGAACTGGTTTTTGATTTTTCTCCCTGTAATGTTTTTAGCAAAAGCTTATATATTTTTTTTTTTTGTCTTGAGAAAGATAAATCACTGAATTAGGAAAAGGTTGTCCAAATAAACTTCCTAATACAAATTCTTAACTCCACATCTCAAAGGCAGGAATCAGTCTCTAGTCTGTCCTAAGGTGGTTTCCTAGTCACATGTGCAAACCTTGGGCAATCATAAGCCAAAACAACCCTCACTGACAAACAAGAGACAGCACAATCACAGCTTGGCTCTTTCCCCCTCTCCTAACTCATGAATCGCTCACAAATTCCGACATTTTAATAGCCATGAGCAAAGAGTTGTGGTTATTTGCCTCTCTGCTCTTTGTACCCTCTGGATTCATGTTGCAATCCAAAGGACTTGAAGTATATTGAAAAACAAAACCATTTAAATCAGTAGTTTTATACAGACGCCAAAAATCATAAGGTTTGTGAAAACAATGGCAAGAACCAGCAGTGCTGGGCACTCATCTGTCAGCAGTAAATGGGGTGGAGGTGGGGGTAGAGACAGGAGACAACAGAAATCTAATTTCAAAACCTTGCAATTTCCTTTTCCTATCACAGGCTCTTTCTCTCTGATCTGCCGTGCATCCCCTTCTCCTGCAGGGAATGACCACAGCCACAGTTTCTGCCCAAGGAAAGCAGAGTATCAGCTGTAGAAAACAGAGTATCAGATTTAGAAAACAGTGACCAGCGAGGCACAGAGCTGGCCCTGCAGAGCTGCCCCCGGGCAGCTGGTGCTGCCCCCCAGCACTGGCACGGCCCCAGGGTGCTCAGGCTGCCCCCAGTGCAACCAGGCAATTCCTTCTGCCCTCTTCCTATATTACAGTTCCAGTAGAAAATGACACAGCCGATTGATGGAGCAGAAGTAGACACTCCAATAGTAATTACTAAAGCTGCAGGAGGTTAATTAGTTTTACTGAATAATTACTCAAATGCTTGCCATGAACTGTACCTCAAATCCAAAGCTGTGTGCTTGTTTACCTGCATGGAGATCCTCTGTATCTCCTGACAGTGAAACTGATCTCATTTGAGGCACAGACCTAGCTCTGATGTAATTATGTCTGCAGTGATGTATGGCACAGCCCCAGCCTCTGGAATGCTGGTCTGACTCCCTTCATTACAGACAGCAAACTGCACTTTAAATCCAGCTGGGGAGGGAAGAGAGCAGAGGTAAACGTTGTGACAGTATTGGCACAAGAAAAGAGGGGAAAAACTGACCAGGAATATATTTAGGCTATAAATTAGAATACCTTTAGTGATTCATGCTGTTGCAATTCATTAAAGGATTACTGCCCCCAGCTGCCAGATCACATGGTAAAGCCAACTGCTCTCCATTTCACTTCAAATTAAAATGCAGGGCAGCCAAACTTCTTGACGTCGGCGAAGTTCACTTATGTGACCCGGGAGAGGTCGATTACTGGTAAACAGTCTCAGTTTGAATTTCCAGAACTTATGTGGAGACATCCTTACAAGGCTGGTGATCACTACACCCAAGAGGTTCTGGAAAATGCAGAAGCCTAACATTCATTGAGACAAAACATTTATGAAAAGCATTATAGGAATCTAGTGCTTGTGACGTTGCCCTGGTGAGCCCTTTGATCCTATTCAGATAGACTGGGGAAACCCCAAAGGCAAAATGGTTCAGGTACATAGTATGTTTCTTATATGCATGCTATAACCTGCTGCTTTTGTACCAAACAGTGTGGTAATATTCTATGGGAAGAAGTTGTTTACAAGCAGTCACTTAAGAAAAACGTACCTATCTGATGTTAAACCACTTTAAAGAGAAATAAAATCAGCTTGAAATGATCTTTCTTAGAAGACCAGCTCCACATAGCAGTGTTTTGTTTGCCTGGTCATTGTGATGTCACTGTGGGCAGGCTTTATACATATATAAACTTGCCACGATCACTGATTTGTGTGCTGTCTTTCAGCATCCTTCTTTATGTTACCAAACTTCTCATTGTATCTATATATATGCAGTACATGTGTATGTAAGAGAGAGTTACAGAATTGGCAACAGAATCCTGTCCTGCTTATACCTTCATAATCATCAGAGGTCAGCACAAAGACCAAGTACTGTTAACCTGGTGTTACACAAAGACCTATGGCTCCATATAGAATTACCTTACTTTATGCTATTTACACAGTTATCTTTAGTACTTATCATGACAATTTCCAATAGAGGTAAACATGAATGGACCTTGCATGGACAAAACGACTTGTGAGTTATCAGCATCATTGTCATTGAGCACTGGCATAAGAATTTGACCCAGGATATGAAAGCTTGGGGATTCACAAATACCTCTTCCATTCTTGATCTTCCCACATGCCAAAGAGATTCAGAAGAAAGAATCTCATCCACTGTGCAGACATCTTACCCATCCTTCCTATGTGTCATGGAAGACCCCTGTTACAGGTTGAATATAAAGTATACAAATTACACAAAGTATAGTGTGTGTGACAGATATCCATGGTATATTCATCTTGGAGAAAAATAAAAGTGGCCAGTAAAAAGCAACTTCTAGATCCTTTTATTGAAGAGGATTGTGAGAAGCACAGAACCATGGTTAAAGCAAATATGCAATATTACAGTCCATTCACTTGCCACAATTTTACCTTAGAGATACTTCTCACACAAGAAGTGTCCCTTAGCAACAAAACCTCTAAGATGTCCCTGGTCATTCCCCCCAGCTCTGAACTGGAATTTGTTACACCCTCAGTTGTGCTGATGCAGCTGTTTCCAGAACATCCTATTAAACAGATCACTGGGATAATCTCAGTTAAAATGAAAACACAACTTCTCTTTGAAGAGATATTTTTAACCTGCAACCCCAGAAGCAGTTGCATCAGCAAACAGGAGAGAGTGGACACTGCAATGTGAGGAGAGTAACAAGCAGTTTGGGAATGAGGAGAGAAGATCAGCAGGAACTGCTCGAACTCACTTTGCTGCCAAAAACATTTCATGTAACCAGACACTGATCTCCTCCTGGCTCACACTTGGTGGAATTCTTCAGATGAGTGTGAAATAACCAAAAGCCACATTCAGCACTTTCTGTGTATCACTTTAAGCAAACAGAAGGATGAGAGAGTCTGCACAAGGAAAATACTGCACAGAGTGAAATCAAGGACCTTTTAAAAAGTTCAATGTATTTATACATAACATGCAATAAATTCTAAAAATATTATCTTTAGAAATACAGATCTCTTTAGCAATACAGATCTCAAGTCCAAGGGACAGAACAGAAATTAAAATTTCCCACACTGATGTTTATATCTGATGACATTTTGGTATCTTCAAAGGTCAGATATATGTTTTGATTGTCTTCTTAGGTAGGTGGCTGATCTAGAAAGCCTAAAACGCTCTTACAGGATGTAATTTTTCTTGCCCTGATACACCAACCAGCACTGCAGCCTCTCCTCCTGACCTTCCCAAGGCTTTGGTGGCAGGTACCCAGCAGCAGCTGTAGCTGTATGCTGAGATCAGGCTGCCAGAGGAGATTTTTGTGAGGCAGAACTGGGAGCTGGGTCCTGGCCCTCACCCCAGGTCCTGTCTGAGACACAGTTTGGGTACTCCTGTGCCCAGCCTGGCACCTCTCTGCTCCTGCCCCAGCTGGGGGGACTCAGCACAGCCCCAGCAGGGACTCAGGGTTTGGGCAGCCCCAGGCTCCCAGCACAGCAGTTCTGCACCCGGCAGGGAGGGAATGCACCCGCTGCCCCTGTCCTCTCTCACCCAGCAGCACGTTTCCAGCTCTGTGATGCCTGGCAGTGCCATGTGCTGGGCTGCCCAGCAGACACTGATCTAAGCTGGCTTCCCACCAGGAGGAGATTTTATCAAACCATCAGTGTTTTGCAGATTGTCAGATGGAATGCACAAGGCAGCGAATACACCAGCACGCTGCACAAGCTGAGCAATGGTGTTACACCAAGTGCAGCAGTTTCCAGAGGCACCTCTCAGTGCATGTTCTCAAGAACAGGACTTTGGCTGCCAAGCTTGCAAGAATATACTGTATGAAATAAATGGTTGCTGTTTTTACAGCACATTTGGTTAAGGATCCTCTGCTGTAGGTGATGCTGTCACGAGACCTGTGGTTGCTCCTTTGCTTTGCATTACCTATTTTTAATTTTCTTTTTTCCAGAAAGGCATCTGCAACAGGTGGGTGAAAATGACCTTAATTCAATATCTCCTCCAGAAGGTCCTGCCTTTCAGAACAAAGCATGGAACTTCATCCAGGGTAGCATTCACTTTATTCTCAGCTGTGTCGTGATGAAAGATCTGTGGCCTTTTGGCACAAAGGAGGCAGTGATGAACCCATGTCTTCTTACCATGGATTGATCACTTCTCCACTTCAGAAGCTGAGTGATTTCCATCAGTCTTGCATGATAAGGTGAGGACAGCTCCTCTGCTGTGCCTCTGCTCTGCCTCAGGATGGTGGTGGAGCAGGTGACACCAGGTGGAGCTGCCTCCTCCTGACAATGGATTTGAGAGAGGCTGAGATCTCTCTGTATCGAAGCCCATACAGAAAAGGGAACAGGACTTTAGGAAGAATCGTGAGGACATTGCAGACTGTCAGGGAGACGAAGATTCCTGTCTGCAGTCTGATGAAAACATTAACGCACAAGAATGATTCCACAAAAAGGGCCAAGAGTGGAAAGAAGTAAAAAAATAAGACAGTGTTGTGCATTACAAATGTTACACTGGCTCTGGAGCAGATGCTTTCCCATATACCTGAGTGCTTGGTTTTAAAATACAGAATAGCATAGCAACAAAATATTACAGACAGGCAGAGAATGATTACTATGGTAGAAAGCCAGAAGCAGAGTTTCACAGCATTAGTCCCATTCAGAGTTAATGTTAGTATTACTGGAACTGAGCACGTTTCCAGGACACAGGGCACAAAGCTGTGGGTAGTCCATAGCACCAAGAAGAAAATCCCAGGGAAAGCTCCGGAACACATCCACAGTAATACAATGATTTTTTTAGTTCGTGGGGGAGGCAAAATAGCAATGTAGCGCAGAGGAAACAAAACAGCAATGTACGTGTCCAAGACTATTGCCACAGCTGTGAACAGTCCTCCACAGTACGCCACTGCCAGCAAAAATAAGAGGAGGACACAAGCTTCCTTGGGGAGGCGTAGACGTGCTGCATTGAGAGCAGCTGACAGGGTATAGAAGAGCAGGTAGATCAGATCAGAAAGCAGAGCATTGCCCAGCAGCATGTACCTTGTTTCCTGGCGGATTTTAAACCGAGAGAAGATCACAAATAAGATGGTAGGGATGATGAGGACACCGGCCACAAGACAGACAATTGGAGAGATTAAGAACATCTTTGTGTTTGTGCCTGATGGGGTGAGAGACCATTCCTCCAGCAAAAGTAACAAAGTTGTGTCATCCAAGTTTGAGGAACTGTTGAACTCTTTCTCCCTGAGGTGGATCACAGTTCTATTTGCTCTTCTTACTGAGGCACAGCCAGGGAAGTCCATTTCCTTAGGATTTTGGGATAATTGTATGACTTGGAGAAAGCAAGATCTTCTATGCCGAGTCCTTAGGAAGGCAAATGAAGCAGAGGATGCAAAAAGCCCATGGAAGCAAAGTGATTTCTGTAGCCAATTCTACCAGTTCTCCTCAAGGACAGAAAGTTCAAACTTGCAGGTGAATTCTGTGGTGTCAAAAGATGGTTTTGCCTAAAAAGGATATTTTCTTTTCTTTCTGCAAAATCTAATGTTTAGAAAAGAGAATGAATCTCTGGGTGGCTTAAAAAAAGACCAAATCCCTCAGCTAGCTCTTTGAACAGAAGTGAATGGGTTGATCAGTTTCAGTAATTTGAGTTTTTCTCATCACATTATCAGTCCAATGAGGCAGATGAAATATTAGCCTGCTTAAACAAATGTGTGATGATACATATCAACATTCCACGTGTACTGATGTAGAAGTCATAAATGTGATTGGGTGGTTTTGCACCAATTTGTATGCAACAACACAATTGATTTGAAGTGATCGATAAAAAAGGCTCTCAATCCTGTTGTAAAATTGTAGCACAATCACTCTAGTGAATGAAATTATCTTATTTGCAGATGAAAACCATTTTTGGTTCAGTGAATCAATCCATGTTATTCATGAATGATAAACCTTCCCCTGCCTTTTTTCATGCATGATATACAAATACTGAATTCTGATCTGTTGCAGTCTTCCACTCAATCTGTGCATTGTCTGGGACGAGTGACATACACTGTACCATAGCAGCATACCCCAGGGCAGCCTTGGCACTTCCAGTGTCCATTTGGAGACCAATTCCTGGTTTCCTGGCCCACACACTGTTGCTGCACTGTGTTGCTTTTAATGCCAGACCTCAGTATCAGAGCTGGGGGTGCAATGAGAGAATTGTGAAAGAACTGGACTGCAGAGAAGGAACATTTCAAGTTCTTCCAGGCATGATGTGATCAAAAAAAAGGCCGATTTTTTAAAATAGGCTCATTTAAGCTGGCATTATTATATTGATGTTCTTCCCAATGCTACTGGCACACAGCAGTGCGGCTTCCCTCCACAGGAGCAAGGACACAGCTCACCATGCAGAAAGTCACAAAGTCCTGCTGTGGCATGGACATGCTGCCTCAGGGCATGCCAAGTAACCAAGCAGACAGCTCATGAAACTCAGCATCAGTCATCAAATCTTGTGCACATTTCATTTCCTGTCACACTGATAGCTGGCACCCAAGGAGCTGGGTGTTGAGACAGTTGACAGGGTGTGCCATATGGAACAAAAAGATAGAAGGAAAAAGCAGGGATAATTTTAAGCACAGCTTTTCAGTTGTTATGGTGTCTGGGGTAGGCAAAACAGAAGGTGATTTTTTTGCTCACTCAATCCTGTATTCACTGAAAAGTGTATGAGCAATATTGATGCAATTATACATTTGGTGTCAGGGTCATGCCCTGCATCTCTAATTGAGTCAAGACACAGGTAATACCTTAAGCAGACAGTAGCACTCAAAACTGTTGAATTATACTCTTGTTGCAAAATGGAAGGGAGGGAATGAAAACTCAGGTGCATAAATCACCACCAGCTGTAATTTCAGATCTCTGTGAATAGTGGAGGTGTTTGCTGCCTCCCAGCTCTTGGCACTCCAAGGATGTCCTGTTAATGAGAACACTCTCTAACTTCCACATAAAATCACAATTTTGTTTTCCACCAACTGCAATGTGAAAAAACAATAGTTCATTGTCACATCACCTGCACACCTTTGCCTGATAGAAAAATAAATCACAGAATGGTTTGGGTAGGAAGGGAACTTCAAGTTCATCCAGTTCTAGATGAGTGACTGAAGGCTCACTCAGTTGACATCATGTCAATCATGTCATGATTCTCTCCTTCAGCCCACACACAAAGAGTACCACAGAGCCCACAAGGCAGCATAAGCTCACAGCCCTTCATGTCCTGTGTTCAGCTATTCCTCTGCTCCAGCTGGCAGAGTCAGCCCTATGGCATGAGCTTCTTCAGTATTACTTGTGCTCCTGTAAAAACCTTATGAGGGCTTTAGTTTTACAAAAATGGACAGCAGCAAATAACTGGAAGAGAGATTCAACCAGATCAGGCCTGGGCAGGTCCAGCCAAAGCCACTCCCCTCAGATTTCCACATGGGCTTTTAATTGCTCAGTGGAGTTCTGCTAGATTTAGAAATGTGAAAGGTTGGTGTCCTGGCTCACTGATATAACCCAGAACAGGTGGTTCTGAAGAATATATGTTTGTTGTCTCCTTTAATTTTCTTGACCTTAGGAGGCCTTTCCACATCTGGGAATTTGCAAGGGGCTGGCAGCTCTGAGCATCACTCCTGAGGATTCTGATCTGAGCTCCTTTAGCCATTGCATCTCAATGTTCAATAGTTTGTGGTGCCAACCTGAATGATCCTCTTGAATTTTCCTGTAAACCTGGCCTTAATGCTCTGGTATTGATTTTTTTAAAATGCTCTCTAGTAAATTTATGTTAGGTGGACACACTTTTTACGTACCTTACTGATGCAGACAACGCTGTATTAGCAGCCTCTCTTCTGGCTCTTACTCTGGCTCAATACAGTCTGTATTGATTTTCAAGCTGAACCACGCACTGTTAATTACTTTACTCATTTCTGCTTCAATAAGCATCCTGCTGAAAGCTTAGTTAATTATCTGATGGGCTTCAGAGATCTCAGGTTGCATGATGAGCACTGTAACTCCTGCAAACACTGCACTACATTGTATTCTGTTGCTGACTATAAACAGGCACTGTCCAACTGAGCAGACAAGGTTAGAAATGTTACTGTCTTACAGCATTTGGCACACACTTAACTGCATACACACCTAGAGAAGCTTCCTGCTTCACAGAGTTTACCTGGCTGATTCAACAGTCGACAGGTACACTGCTGCTGTGACAGGGAGCACCAGACAAGAAAGGGAAGCAAACAGAGTAATGCTAGGATTTCCCCAGCCCTTCGTCCCAAGAGACTGTGTTAGAAGGGGATACCCAGAGGAATGCTCACATTCACCTCTGAGGCCCCCTGGTGCCATCATGTCACTGTCTCAGTGTGATTACAGAGCCTATTCCAGCAACTCACACCATGTCCCAGCCTAAAAAATCGATCCTGTGCTGTGGGTCTACCCCAGAGACTGCTGTTCCTGGCCAGGGGCCTGGGGCGAGTGGGGTAGAAAGGCTGCCTCACATCTCCTCAAACAGAAGTGTTTTGGATGAGACAGTTGGGTCCAACAAATCAATATTTTTCTGGAATATTGTTTCATGGGTCTATTTCCAGCCATGCTTAGTAATAGAGCCTTGGCCTCAGGACTTTCCTCATCTTCCTTCCATGAATGCCCCCTGCCCCTTCTAGGCTTATGTAGGGCCAGAAGGCACCTCCCTTGCTGTGAAGCCTTCCCAGTAATGAACAGCCAAGTGCCCATGAGCAGGCCAGCTCCTCCCAGAAGGACAGGAAGATCCAGATTTCCTGCCTGTATCCATACTTTCACTCTGGGCAAATGAGCTGCTGCTGACAGTGAATAAAGTAATCCAGACAGTTTAACTGTGGTGTTTTTCTGGATGAGTCTTCCCTTTTTCTTCTTCTTTAAACTGAAAGTCAATTAGAAGACTTTGCTAGACCTTTAAGATTCCCTCTAAAATTTTCTGCAAGCCACAGGGAAAGGTAGAACTCATCCATGCCTCAGCTATCTGTCCCCACGTGGCTCCAGAAGGATTGTTCAGTGCCTTGCTTGTTATTTGCTGTAGATAAGAGACATACACAATACTGTTGTAACTGTACAAAGTTCACAAATCAGGCAGAGCAATTACTAATGTTAAGGAAATAAAGAAATGGGTGTGAAAACTAAACTCAGATTACAATGCTTTGAAAGGTCAAAGGAACATGGAACAAAAGAAAATGGGGATTAGAAAGTGCTAGTTTAAAGACATTTTAATGAGGCTCCCAAACAAAAGAAGACATTGAGAGACAGGGAAGGCTCAGCATTAAATCCCTACATCAATTCTTCTAATTTCAAATACCATCAAGACATGGTGATGACAAAGTCAAAATAAATTTTGTACAAAATCGGTCTTGCAGGTGCAATATTGAGAAATAAGCTGGTGTCAGATGAACAGAATTGCTAAATATTTGACAAATATTTCAACAAAAGTTTTGAGAAGTAACAGTGTAAGACACAGACACCTCCTGCTTTCCTGCAGGTTACTGCATGGCCTGACTGCTGCGAGCTGCAGCCAGCAGAACTCATCCATTTTCATTCCCCAAGCCTGGCAAGGCAAAGAAAGACAGGTTTTTGTCTTTTGTGCTGAAAGGACACACAAACATGTTTTTCTGTGACAAGCTGCAGATGTGACCAGAGATTTATAGCTGCTACTTTTCATGGTCATTTATGGACAGAGTCACAGGACTCCCAGAGAAGCCATCTTAGACTGTTCCTTTGATTTAATGACCTCTCCTGCCTGCCTACTTCTCATAGCAATGTATCTATGAAACAGGATGAATAGCCTACTAAATAAGGCCTATTTGTAAAATATTAGTTTCTTTCTTGAGGCAGTTTAATTTATAAGGAGAATTTTTGCTTAAATTTTGAACACTATACAACTACACTGGCTCTAACAGGAGTTACCTGCAGAAATCTAAGTCCTTTAGATAAAGAACAACATTATTCTTATCTGAGTATTTAGCAGCTATCAGAAGAGATTAAACCAATTTTCAATACCACACAGAGTGATGAGCAGAACTAGAAAGACACATCTGAATTTGTGACTCCTTGATTCTTCTCTTAAGACAGGAGAAAGCTCCTTGTTCTGAGAGAAAGCTTCTCAAATGGGGGAGGTACATCCACCAAACTCCTTAGAGCACCCATCCACCTCAGGCTGTCTGTCTTTCTGGTGGTGGCTGGCATCAGAAGTTTCATGTTCCTGTCCTGTCTCACCTGCAGTGATCTCCAGCATTGCCTGGGAAGGGCTGCTGCAAAACTTCAG